AGTGAAGCTGAATTTTGCATTTTCATTGTTATTTTTATTATTTTAGTTTCCCTTTTGTTTTGGCATCTTTTGTCTTTAGTGAGTTTGTTGAGAGGGTTTTACCCAGCTAAGGGAAAAAACAATTGGGGCCTACTAGTTTGTTAAATACCGTATGAGTGAATGAAAAAAGGCATAAAATCAGTTATTCACAAACTCATTTCTCCCTTTTCTCTCCTATTTCTCTCATTCTCTTTATCTTTCTGCAATCTATCTTCTCCCTTAATCTTTCTAATTTTACAGAAAAAATATACAAATTATTCACAAAAATTACAATATCATCGCGGGTCATTACACATACTCCTTCTTCTCTTGGTCTGGTGCATGTCAGCAGGCACAGCCGGACAAGCCTCAACAGTAACAAATTTGTACCCTCAGCAGTTAACACTATTTCCAAGTTCCTTTTCCAGTCAATATAATTGGGACCAACAAGTTTGTTTTCTTTGAGAATTACGGACAACGGATTGAAAGACATTTTGAATTCCTGGGATCATGTAAACATAGTCTTTACTAAGTCAAGTAGTTTTTAATTTATACATCAAATATTGATCCCATTAAACAACATTTGAATAAATTCACAAACACCTCAAAACACCGAATCCCTGCAGGCCACTGAGTGTGGACGTCGAGCAATACTTAACTAATAGTTGGTTTCATCTTTTGGCCAGCGCAATTAACTTTTTAAAAGAATAACTTTATAAAAGAATAAAAACGACCTTGTCCTTTGGGACTATCGTAATTATTTGCACTTTAAGCGTAACCCATTAATTGGTACTAAGTTTACTACCAAAATTATACATCCACCTTTGGGTGACCCGTACGTTTTTGAAATAGCTCACTATAACCATCCCGAAGGAGATTTGTCCTTGTGAACTTTGAAATAAAACGTCCTTTGGGCTCGAATTAAATCACTTAACTGACAAACCTATAATGGAGGCCTTGGATGTAATTTATTACAACCCATTACACAC